TCTTGCCCTTTTTGAAGACTGGAGTGATGGATTTCCTTGGACAAAGTCAATGACATTGGCTTTTTAACAGAGCCGTGGATGCTTCAGTAGGATGATACCCTGCAGGTGCATGTCCTCGAACCTGGCTGGAAGGAGTTTTTGCAGCCTCATGCTCTTGGGAGGTAGGAGGCTACCATCTCAGTCCCTGTCAGAGCAGGACCGGGGATGATGGGCTGCCATGCGGACATTTCCCTTTCTCAAAGTTTGCTTGTAGGAAACAGCTTTTAACACGAAAGGAACAGTTTGGAGGTGGGTGAGGCTGGGAGGAGTTCTCCCATTTTGTTCCAAGCTTGGTGGGTTATTGCCAAACTGGAAAAAAATCACAATAATTTCAGAGGAGGGAAGTGTGGCAGCTCCATGGGGCCAAAGGGCAGCTGGTATTTGACCAGAGTTTCTCCATGTTGGTGTCAAGATGCAAAGAGCTCCTCCAGCGAGCAGGGGTAGTTATACCACACTAGAGCGAAATCTTCTGGGTTTGCACTCAGAAGATGAGGAGAGGGAGAGCTGCTGTCTGCTGGGACATGGGGCAATGCCTCAGCATCTGCACCAGGCTATGGGGTCCTGGAGCAGAGAGAGGGTGTGGCTCTGTGTTGCTGATGAGAGGCTCCATCCCAACAATTTCCACCCTGGGCAGGACCCTGGGCATCGACCAGACGCCCTGTCTGAGTGGCAGCAAACGGAGACCTTGGTTGCCAGCCCCCACGCAGATTGTGCAAGATGAAGAGCTGCAGGTTACACACATTTCGACTTCTCAAGACATCTCCTTACCTGCCCTGCAGCCTCCACCCACACCTTCCTTCTATTTTTCTTCTTTTTTTTTGACTTCGTCGGCCCTGGGCTTTACATTGACTTTCTGCTGAGCTGTGATGAGCCAGCACGGGTGAGGGGCTGGAACCCCAAACACACCTGTGCCCTGATGCTTCCCCCCCCCAAGGGCACCTGCTCCTGGCAGTGGGGCTGGGATGGGCTAGGAAAGCGGACCAGAGTGGTCCCAGCAGGCAGCCTGGCTCCTAAAATCTTTAATGCTGGGGCCAGCCCTGAGCTCACATCTATGTTGAACTCCCCAGACTGGCATCGTGGTGTTAGGGGGAGGACAGTTCGGTGTAAAGCTTGCGTTAGTGAAGTTAATCCACGAGCCCTGGCTGCCCTGGTCCTACTGACTGCGTGGGAAGCTGCTGGCTCAGCACGGGGAGCCCAGGATGAGCTGGTCTCCTCTGCACCCTGGTAGGTTTCAGTACTCCTAGTGCTTTCATGAGTGGTCCTCAGCCAAAGTGCACATCCTATTCCACATGTGCCAGTGCCAGGGCTGGGGCATGGAGTGGATGCAAGCCTTTCACCAGGCGTACAGGCAGTGCCCCAACCTCCGACGGGAGGAGCCCGAATTCAGCAAGGAGACTGTGGAGAGGCTTCTGCACAACCTGGTGCTAAAGATCGTCAAGTACTTCTACCACATGCCCATCCAGCCCTCCGACCTCCTGGAAGTCATGGTGGAGGCACCAGTGGCAGGGGCACACGACAGCAGCAGGGGGGGCTGCCAGGACACCCTGCGAGGGCTGCCAGCTCAGCGTTTGCAGCGAGTTGTGGCTGACCCTGGTGTCGGATGCCTGGGAACCCTTGATGGATATGGATGAGGCCAGGACCCATTGCACCCTGAAACACCAGGGCATGAGGCCGTATGCAGTCTCAGCCCACCACCCCTTGCCCTTTGATAGCAACTTCCCCTGGAAACACTGCTGCTGCATGGACAGTTCTTTGCTCTGTGTTTTGGTGGTGTTCCTCTTCGTCCTGCTTTATTTCACCGAGAAGTGGTGGGAGCCGGGGATCACAAAGAGGAACCGAGGTGATGGCTAGGGGAGCTGATGGAGTGCCTGGAAACTGAGCCTGATTGCTCTCCTGACTGCACTGTTCATCCCAAATCAAGTGTGATGGGGAGCGCTCAGGCTAACTTTGTTGCTGAAACACTTCTTTTTGTTTCTTCCTCTTTGTGTGTTGCAATTTTGTGAGTTTTCATGTTAGGCAAGACTGTCCCCCCTCCATCCCTGGTGGGTGATGCCCTGTGGGCAGCGTGTGGGCAGGGCCAGGGACCCATTGCCCCTTGCTGCTCATGGCAGGTGGAAAAAGACATGCAGGAGCTACAGAAGAACCGGTTGGGCACTGTGGACAAAACTCCTTTTGGTTTTGTTTCTTGTACTAGGCCTTTGGCTTCCCAGGGCAGGCAGCAGGTACAGCTGGGCACCCCCAGGCACTCACCCTGCACCCGGACAGCAAACCCAGCCCCTAGGAGAGATGGACCTGCTGTGGATGGACACCTGGAGGGAGATATTTTATGGCCTGATAGATGAGGTGGAACCAGAGGATGAGTGGGACTTGAAGGTGGACCAGAGTCTCACTCCTGAAGCCCTGCCCTGGGGCTGGACGCAGGTGGTGGAGGAGCATGGCTTGGCCAGTTGAGGATAGTGGGGCCAGGGACAGCCAGCCCTGGCCTCTGGCAAGGGACAGGTTCAGAGGGCAGGGGGAAACCTGCCTGCACAGGCACAGCCATGGGAATTACCTCTTTTATCTATGAACTGCACCAGACCCCTGTTTTGAAGGCACAGCCCTGCTGCCTCCAGGGGAAGCAATCTGCTTGCTTGCCTGGAGTTTAAGGGACAAAACTTTAGGTCTGGCAGGGTCTCATGCTCTCTCATGAGCTGTAAAACCGGCATAGTAATGGGAGTCTTCCCTCATCTCCCATGCCTGGTCCAGCCTCAGAGATGGTCATGTCTCAGGCAGCGCTAGGCAAGTTTGTGCAGCTGTGCCTCAGTTTCCCTATCTGCAAAATGGCTCACAACCCTACCTGAACCCTGGGGCACTTGACTCCTGCAGTGCTGTCAGCCAGGGGAAGAGCTTGGGGTACAGCAGGGCTGGCATTTGGCTCACACTGGAGCACCATGGCTACTGCTTCAGCCCCTCTGGGATAAACCTATAGGGACTATTTTCGGAGGTGGGGAAGCAGGTCATCGCCTCCATCTGCAGCCAGCCAGGGTTTCTGTGCTGGGTGAGGAACAGCCTGGGGCTGAACAGTGGCATCCTGAGTCCCTCCCTGGTACCCAGAGAACAAGGTGGATTTTTGGGAGCCTCCAGCTTCATCTTGCAGGAGGTGGGGGACTGGGCTTGATTCCCCACTGGAGGGTCACCAGAAAGGGAGGAGGAGGCAGTGTGGTGGGTGTTGCACCCAAATTCAACTGCGTGGTTGTAAGGAGTAACCCTAGGGGAAGCCAGAGAGTGTCCAAATGGCCCGTGCCACAGGCATCCACTCCCTGTCCCCTCCAGCATCCCACCACCCAGGACACACATACCCATGGGGCAGGTGGGGGGCATTGGGTGCCTCCAGCTCGCTGCAGCAGCACGAATGCAGGGTGATGGTGTGGCTGGCCCCATAGCTCTGTGGTCCTCTCCCTGTGGCAGCCTCCATCCCACCACTCAGGCTCTCCTCTCTTTCAGTTTCTGGTGCTCCCACTGCGGGTGTTTGTGGAGCTCAACCCAGGCTGTCATCCTCTTCCATGTCCACCTGGACCATGCAGAGACACGGGGCTGGGTGAGGATGAGGACCTTCAGGCAGCAGTGCCACCAGTGCTGGGTGTGGGCAGAGCCGGTTTTCAGCCAGGAGAGAGCTGGATGGATCCTGTTGGATTTGGTTGCCAGCATCTGGCCGAAGTGCTATGGCGAGGACATCGTTCACCCCTGCTTGCAGGAGGCTGTGGCTGGGGAACACGGTGCACCCCATGAGAGCAAGCACTGCGAGGCCTGTCACCTGGGAGTGCATCAGGGGATGCCATGGGGACACCAGGGATACGGTAGGAAATCCAGCTCCATGGGGCTGCAGGAGAAGCCCGGAGATGTGGCCATCCCCTGGGGAAGCAGGGTGCCAGTGGTAAGCGTGCAGTCACCAGCCCACTGCTGAGCCCCGGCTGGGTTTAGGAGCAATGCAGGAGACATCATCCCCTGTTGTGCTTGTGCCATCCTCATCGTAGTTTTCATTTTTATTACATACCTCTCACAGAGAGGCTGGCCAAGGGTGCCTGGCTGGTGAATAACTTCTATTAACTCCATCAACTTCCCAGCTTGCTCTGCTTTAGTGGCCCCAGGCACCTGACTGCACTGGGATGCTGGCTGCTGGGGTGAGGTGGGGGTTTCTAACACTCCCCTGGAACTGAGCTGCATGTCTCACTCTGCTGTTTTCTCTGGGGTTCATGCACTGCCTGGCTAGTTGAGGAGCAGAAACACAGACTCTGGGGGACCTGCTGCTCACCGCGAGTAGCAAGAGCTGAAGTGAACAATCCCCAAACTACGCTGGGTACTGAAATTGTTTTTTGGGCTGTCTGTCAAACCAGTCCAACAAGGGCCAGACCTGCAGAGATGCCAAGACAGCTGCATCTGTCCCCTCCTGACTTTTCAAATGTTTTTGATGCTAAAGATGGACATGGTAGGAAAGATTTCATGACTGAATTAATGGAAGACAGATGGGCTGAAGGAAAGGCAGTAACCAAACCCAGAGCCACCAGTGCCGCCTGCACAGCATCAAGGGGAGCTTTGGTGCTCTCCTCCCTGCTGTGTCCTGCAGGACGTTACACTGCTCACTGCAGGTTTGCTTTTTTTGCAGGTGTAAGATTCTCCCCTATTTTCATATAGGCAGCCTGCAGGCTATCGATTAAAAAAATAAATCAAAATAACAAGAAAACCCTGTGTGATCCAGGGGCCATGTGGATTTTATTTCTTAAGGAGTCTGTCCTGCTTATCCCACCAACTCTCCCCGTCCCCCAGCACCGTTCCCCCTCCGCAGCCTGTGCAGCCCTGGCCGTGGAGCCAGCAGATGGAGCTGCGAGATCTCCGGCACTGCACTGGGAAGCACTGGTACCAGTG